GAACTCACAGAGATCCGCCTGCCTCTGCCTCCCGAGTGCTGGGATTAAAGGCGTGCGCCACCACCGCCCGGCCTTGTTTTGTTTTTTTAAGACAGTTTCTCTGTGTCAGAGCTCGGGCTGTCCTGGAACTTGCTTCGTAGACCAGGCTGGTCTGGAACTCACAGAGATCCACCTGCCTCTGCCTCCTGAGAGCTGGGATCAAAGGCATGAAAAAAGTTTCATAGAGCCCAGCTTGGCCTCAAACTTACTATGTAGCTGAGGACAACCTTGAATTCCAAATCCCCCTGCCTCTCCACCTCTTAAGTGCTGAGATTTCAGGCATTCACCAAGATTTTGAAATGCTGGAGGTTGAATTCAGGGCTTCATGTATGCTAGGCAAGGGCTGTACCAACTGAACAACACTCTCAATCTAGAAAATTAATTTACAGGAAGATAGCACAATATCAAAACTATTATTTTTCTGTGGCTATTATGTTGAACTGAATGGTGTTGTAAAATAAATTTAAAAAAATAAAATAAAACTATTATTTTACTGTCTGAGGGGCTGGAGATTCTTGGAATACAATAGCATAGCCAAAGGATAGAAAGACAGAAGAGAGAGGAGCTGCTTGGAATCTGGTTAAAAACATTTCACCAGCTGAGGGGCAAGGAATCCAGCACAACTGACAACTGCCTAAGGCCTTTCTCATTTCCCACCCACAGACCTGAATGTTTCTGGATATCTCAGCAGAAACCCCATTTACAGTAAAAACATGTCCTGAACACCTTGTGCAACCCTTGTGGCTCCTGCTTCTACCTCATCAGATTATAATAACATGCAGGGCACCTTCAGAGTAGCCGTGCAAAATCACGACTCTTACCTCAAAGGGGACAAGAGCATTTGGAGCCAAATATGAGTGACTATGGCCCAGGAACACAGATTCAGGATACCCCAAATTCCTTGTTCCAACATGGTAACCATTTTATGAACTTCTAACAGTAAGAGCAAACAAAATATAGAGACGCTTATCTAATACACTGAAAACATCTTATACTTTCATTTCCTAACACAACAAAATCATCAGGTAGGCAACTACAGCAAATGGGGAAGCCTCTGCTGCTTTTGAATTGTTGGAAGCTGGCAGTCTTCTCAGATGATATACCAAAAGGTTTGACCTGGTAGTCAGTCACAAGGACGTCAGGTCAGACACAGAGGCAGGAAAGGAATGGCTAATAAGGGGGACAATGGTAGCCAAAGATAAATTATATTTGGCCTCCTGACCTGCCAACATCTCACAGTCATCGAAGTTCTAGTCATTTAATCAGAATTCTAGAATGTTCCATGTAAGGTACCCCTTCTCTTCAGGATCTTTCATTCAGAGGAACCACCTTGGAATTCCATGAAAATAAAGAGAGAAGGTGGTAAAAAGTTTCTTAGCAACTTTCTGAGGTATCATTTGTGATCTACCGAAGGGTATATCAGTCTACTGTAAGATGCTTAGTTGAGACTTTCCATTGAGGACCTCATAACTCACATCCCAAGCATCTTTTTTTCCTTTACCTTCATGCATAAATATCTATGTTAAAAAGGTCTTTTAATAAATTGCCACTCTGTGGGGCTGGATCTAACTCAGCAGCTAAAAGCACTGGCTGCTCTTGCATAGGACAAGGGTTCAATTCTCAGCACCAACAGAGTGTCTCACAACTGTCTGTAGCTCCAGTTCTAGGGGATCAGATGCCCTCTCTGGCCTCCTTGGGCACTAAGCACACAAGTAGTTCACAGGCATACATGCAGGTAAAATACCCATACAAGCAAAAATGAAAATAAAAGTCATTAATAAACATCATTCTCTCCTAGAGAAGTGCATTTATTCTTAGATGTGCTTTTGTTCTTCTCTTCAGTACTGATCGATTTATTTTATTTTTGTGTTTGTTTATTGTCTCTGTGTATGTGTACATGGCACAGCACAGGTGTGGAGGTCAGAGGACAACTTGCAGGAATCTGTCGTGTGGGTTCTGGGGGTTGAACTCAGGTCATCGGGTTTGACAGCAATCACCTGAATCATTTCGCTAGCTCCTATCTCCTTATTTGTAACATAACCCAAACTCTATTTCATACTAGCGAGTCCTGAAATTCTTTTCTGTGTTGAAGCCACAAATCTTGGTTAGGCCTGACCGTTACTAAGGATGACAGCATGGCAATGTGTCTCTAGCCCTTTGCCATTAACAGCACAAACAATACACTGGACATCAAAAGAAATTTCTTGGTGTCTAAACCTCTCTATCGTGAACACTGTGCCCTTAAGAAAATTTTATAATGTACTTACACCTTGCTTTTCTCATAAAAACTTATAAAAAAAAATGACAGACACTTGAAAAGGTTTATTGATACAGTATGAAAGCAGGTCCTTGGATTTGGTGGAAACATTCTAGACACAGATGGGCTTAAAAGCTCACAGTCTCACAAGACTCCCTGAGTCACTGGCTCCAGGATCCTTGACACACAGCTTTGAAGAATGGATTTCATAAGCTCCAGGAAGGGTGTGATTTAATAAAGGAGTTTATTATGGGTTCGTAAGTGGGAACTTGAGAGGACGCAAGCAGAGCCCCAGGGCAGAAGAGGGGGGGTCCCAGAGGTGGGCACCAGGAAGATGCTCATTTGGGGCCTTTTCCTAAGACTTATGGCAAAGACTGGGTTGAGGCATAGATGATGAGGTCAGTCCATGTGGCCCACCCACCAGGTGTGCATGCATCTTTCCATTCCTGTGGCCAGATTGTGGATACCAGTGCACTCCAGTGTCTCTAGACAGAACATTTCTGACCTGTTTATCTGCTGGCTAGAGCAGAATTGAAACCAAGACATGAATCAGTGAGTCTGGCCAGAATATTTCTGATATTCCTAGCTAAAACCAAGAATTAGAGCTGCCTGTTTTTAGGGCCCTGTCCATGTCTACCTGATTTGTTCCTATCTCCTTTTCTCATCACTCTGACATTTATTTATTTTTTATTGAAAATAGATTTTTCTCATATATCCTGATTGTAGCTTGCTCTCCCTCTAATCCTCCCAGTTCCTCCCTACCACCCTTCCTCTTCAGATTCACTCCCTTTTGGTCTCTCATGAGATAACAACCAAACTTGAGAAACTAAACTATAATAGGATGAAGCAAAAAACTTTTCATATCAAAGCTGGACATGGCAATCCCACAAGAAGAAAAGAGTCCCAAGAGCAGGCAAAAGAGTCAGAGATCAACTCATTCTCATAGTCAGGAATCCCATAAAAATACTAAGCTAATGTCTATACTATATGTGCAGAGGACCTGGTGTGGACCCAGATAGGCCCTGTGCTTGCTGCTTCAGTCTCTATGAGCTCATATGTGCCTTGCTCAGCTGATTCTGTTGTTCTCCAGTATCCTCTTTCTCCTCTGGCTCCCATAATCTTTGTGCCTCATCTTCTGCAAGATTTTCTGAGCTGGGGGGGGGGAGGGGATTTTATGGAGACCTCCAATTCAAACTCTCTCTTCCAAAGTATCTGGCTGTGGGTCTCTGCATCTGTTCCCATCTTCTGCTGGAGGAAGCCTATCTGATGATGGCTGGATCAGGCACTGACCTATGAATATAGCAAAATATCATTTCATTGATTTTGTGTTTTTTTGTTTTTTTTTTTTTAGACAAGTCATGTTTGGTTTTACCCTAGCCCTCATGGGTTATCATGTCTCTGATTCTTGGTTACCCAAGCAATATAGGGTATTGATTCCTTCTCATGGAATGGGCCTTAAGTCAAATCAGACATCAGTTGACTATTTCCACAAATTCTGTGCCACCATTGCCCCAGCACAATTTGCAGGCAAGACAGATTTTAGGTCAAAGGTTTTGTGGCTGGATTGGTGTCCATGTTTCTCCTTTGGTAGCCTGCAGAATACTGCTCACACCAAGGAAACTAAAACATAGGGTTGAAGGCCTCATGTAGGTACCAGCTCAAATTCTCCGTGTTCAGTGATTTGTATGGGTGTTGTCCTTGGCAGTGGGGCTCCACTGTCAGATTTTGGAGAGCAACTCTTTGTCTTACCATCAGCCTGGGTTCTTTGGGGATTTCCACAGGGTCCCCTTTGGCAACAACTCAATTGAATGTAACCCAGTCCCTCCAGTGGAATCCTTCCCTGACTATAAGAGATGGCCAATTGAGACTCCATATCCCCCATTACTAGGAACCCTCATTAGGATCACATTCAGAGATACCAGGGACTTTCCAATGCACTATATTTCCACACCACCACCACCACCCCCAAAATGCCTCCCAATTCTAGCCATATCTCCCCACAGTCTCTCCCTCCATCGCATCTCCCTCCTAACCTGATTCCTCCCACTCCTGTCCCCACCTGCCACCAGTCCACCTGTAAAATTTATTTCCCCTTCCCAGGGGGGATCCATTCATTCCCCCCTCCCCACAACTGGTCCTCTTTACTTAACCTCTCTGGGTCTACAGCTATAGCTTAGTTATCATTTACTTAATGGCTAATATTCACTTATAAGTGAATATATACCATATTTATCTTTCTGGGTTATGTCACTCAGGATGACTTTTTTTCCAGTTTTATTCATTTGCCTACACATATCATGATGTCATTTTGTTGTTTTGTTTGTTTGTTTGTTGTTTTTCGAGACAGGGTTTCTCCGTGTAGCTTTGCGTCTTTCCTGGAACTCCCTTTGGAGAACAGGCTGGCCTCGAACTTACAGAGATCTGCCTGCCTCTGCCTCCCGAGTGCTGGGATTAAAGGCGTGTGCCACCACCGCCTGGCTCGATGTTGAGATGTCATTTTTTTTTAACACTGAGTAATACTCCATTGTATAAATATACCATATTTTCTCTATTCTTCTATTGAGGGACATCTAGGTTGTTTCCAATTGCTGGCTATTATGAATAAAGCTGCAATCAACATGGCTGAGTAAGTGTCCTTGTGGTAGGATAGAGTGTCCTTTGGGTATATGCCCAAGATTGGCATAGCTGGGTCTTGAGGTAGATTGATTCCCAATTTGCTGAGGAAGCACCATATTGATTTTCACAGTGGTTGTACAAGTTTGTACTCTCACCAGCAATGAAGGAGTATTCCCCTTGCTCCACATCCTCCCCAGCATGAACTGTCACTTGTGTTATTGATCTTAACCAGGTGTAAGATGGAATCTTAATGTAGTTTTGATTTGCATTTCCTTGATGACTAAGGATGTTGAACATTTCATTAAGTGTTTCTCGGCCATTTGAGATTCCTCTATTGAGAATTCTCTGTTTAGATATGTACCCCATTTTTTTAATTAGATTGTTTGGTTTGTTGATGTCTAATTTCTTGAGTTCTTTATGTATTTTAGATATTAGAATTCTATCATACATGGAGTTGGTGAAAATCTTTTCCCATTCTGTAGTCTGCCATTTTGTCCTATTAATGGTTATCATTTGCCTTACAGAGGCTTTTCAGTTTTATGAGGTCCCATTTATTAATCGTTGATATCATACCTGCACTATTGGTGTTCTGTTCAGGAAGTCCTGTGCCTATGCATTCAAGGCAATTCCCCACTTTCTCTTTTATCAGGTTCAGTGTATCTGGCTTTATGTTGAGGTCTTTGATCCATTTGAACTTGGGTTTTGTGCAGGGTCATAAAAATGGTATATGTGGGAGCCCCCAATGACTCCAGATTGTGGCCTGATTCCATTTTGACTTAAGGTCAGAGAGTTCAAACTTGTTTTTGCTCCTTAAGGCTGAGTAATAGGATGATTAGCCAAAGGTGTGATTACTAGATGTTTGCCCCTCAAGGCCAAAATAACAGGATATTTGGCCAAAGGCGTGGTTACAAGATGCTTTGTGAATTAAGGAGATGTTTACACTTGTTTGGTCCTTGAACCATGGTAAGGAAGTCTCTTGTCCCACTTGCTAGATATAAAAAGGCTGTGAGAAATAAATTTGGGGCTGCTGCAGTATTCACTGAGAGCCTTCCCAATTCTATCTTCTGTCTCTGGTCTCTTTCTTAATCCTCCTTCCATATTCAGGTACCATTTTACAGGTCAGTAGGTACCAACAGATATATTTACATTCTTCTACATGCAGACATCCAGTTATGCCAGCACCATTTGTTGAAAATGCTGTCCTTTTTCTAGTGTGTATTTCTGGCTTCTTTATCAAAAATCAGATGTTCATATGTGTTTGGATTATTGTCTGGGCCTTCAATTTCATTCCATTGATCAATGGGTCCATTTTATGCCAATACCCATGCAGGTTTTTATTGCTGTAGCTCTGTAGTACAGCTTGAAATTGGTTCCTTTTCTTGTTCAGGATTATTTTAGCTGTCCTGGGGTTTGTTTGTATGTGTGGTTTTCTATGTGAAATTGAGAATCGTCTATAAAGAATTGTGTTGGAATTTTGGTAGGGATTGCATTGAATCTGTAGATTGCTTTTGGTAGGATGGCCATTTTTACTATGTTAATCCTACTAACCCATGAGCACGAGAGATCTTTCTATCTTCTGCTGGCCTCTTCAATTTATTTCTTCAAGATTTCTTCAAGAAACTTGCTTGGTTAGAGTCATCCCAAGATATTTTATGTTATTTGTGGCTGTTGTGAAGGGTGTTGTTTCCCTAATTTCTTTCTTAGCCCATTTGTCATTTGTGTTTAGTAGGACTACTGATTTGTGTGTGTGTGTGTCTTGTATCCTGCCACTTAGCAGAAAGTGTTTATCAGCTGTATCACTCTGCCACTTAAAATGAAAAAATACATATGTCATATATCAGAGCTTTTAAAACAGTATTTACTGTATGAAACTCATAAAGACAAGGGAAAGAGCAAGTATACAGCTTCTCTGGAGGAGCATACAGGCCCCATTTCGGGGCCAACACATAGAAAATTAACAGGACTTATGTCCGACTCTAAGAAAGGACTTGCAGTCTTGAGCCATACAAACTTTAAGTGCTTTACCCTGGTATTGAGGGCAGGTTCCAAATGATGTCATCTTATCAATATAAGGGAACTAGATGCCTCCAGGACTGCTCTGAAGCCTCAGCACTCTTCCAGTGTTGATTGATCCAAGTACTAGGCCAAAGCACAACTTAAGTAAATCAGTTCCTCCCTAGGAGGGCAGGCCACAGAGAAGCAACTTGACCTGTATGTGAAATCCCATCGAAAAGCACAGACACAGTTGGGGAATGTATGTAGTCATGGGGACGATGACCAGCCCTTTGTAATGCAGAAAATGTATTTGTTCTCAGTTCAAAAATGTACTCAATGGGTGTTTATTTAGCATCCACTGTGTGCCGGACTAAGTACTTTATCTATAACAAAAGCATAAAAATATCAGATTTTTATAAAAATTGAATTTAATAAGCTTTAAACATAAGTGAATTATACATGTGTTAGATGAGTAGAGGGAGAAAATAATCAAAGCAGGTTAGAGGCATAGTGGTTGCTATGCGAGATGACAGGAAGATAAGTCCCCTTGAAATTTTAGGTAGGATGTCAGAATAGGCAAGTAACATTTGAGAAAGCCTTTGAAGAAGATGAGAGAATACCTTGAAGATATCTGGGGCAAGAGCTTCCCAGGGAGAGAAAAGGGACCAGTTCTCAGCCAGTAAACACCTCACATATTCAAGGGCTAGGTGAAATGGGAAGCCACAGGAAGCCTCTGAGGAGAGAATGATGTGATCTCGCTTCCATTCAGGAGCCTCATTCAAGCTGTTCCGCTGAGAATAGAGGTGGTTGAGATGAAAGGAGGACAAGTGTTGAATTAACATCAGAGCAGACTGGGGCTGGAATGACATTGAGCTCAGAGGCTTCCTGCACAATAAAAGCCCACTCCGGAACAGCTGTTGACACTGTTCCTGCTATGGGAAGGGGATGTAGGCATATGAAGTGGCATTTCTGGGGATCCTTTGGCCAAGGATCTCCTGTGAGTTGACCTGTAAGTTTAGAGGAAATAATAGGAAGGTGCATTATGCCTCTTCCAGAAGGAATAATGGTGCTTCCTTCTGACTCTCTACTCAAAGTCAGGTATTGTTGAGGACCTTCAAAGCTCGTGGTGTTGACAGTGATGGAAAAATTGGAACAGAGGGCACAGTGAATGGCTAGTAAAGCTGCGCTTCATGGTTCTGCACAATGGTGGGTAATTAACAGATGAAGAAAAATGTTAACTCCTGAGCAAACAGGAGATATCAATCATCAGCAGTACTGTCTATATAATTTCCAGGGTCCAATGCAAATAAACAGAAACACCGTGCTTCTTATCCAAACTTAAGACAACGACAGTAGGGCTTTAAATGGATTACAGGGCACACAGGCTGTGCTAGCCCTGGTTTTCAGTATTAATTACTCCCAGTCAAATTATTCAGGTATTGATATCACAGATAGGAGCATGAAAGGACTCACAATAATGTGATACTAGTTCACTACTATGGTTACAACCAGAAAAGATAGATTCTCCTCCCCCAGTTCTAAGCCAGTGAGATACCCCATTCTGTTGGTATCAAAAATTGAATGTAAGTCTTTCAACCAGGTGCCAGGTGAGATCTGTTTCTAGAGGAGGGGTTATTAGTCAAACCAGATAAGGGGGCTGAGTTTTTACAACTTCAGCGTGAGTGTTCATTGTCCTTAGCCGTGTAAGAACTGTCTAGGCAGGAGTGACAGCATTGTTCCCTTCTGATAACATCAGAAACACGGCTCTGTTGTGAGAGACTTGATCAGGGATCTGGGGAAGCCCATTAAAAGAAAACTCTTTTCCTGGTGTGGGTGGAGACATTACATTCCAAACCTCCCCAAACATAAGAACTAATCCAGCTGAGCCAGTCAATCACCGAGCCAAATCCATGCCTCAGGATGGTGGATTCACCTTAAGCCATCCGAGAGAGGGAAAGAATAATTATCCCTTTAATGAGCTTGCCAAAGCCTGAGCTCTTTTATCCATGACACTGGCAAAAAAGATGTCAAAAACAGCCTTCTCTTCCAAAGTTTCTGCTACCAAAAACTTCCCCCAGCCTTCCCAGGGAGGATGCCCCCTTTTCCAGAAGGAAAAAGCTGCAAGAATGACAGCTCTGTCCCATTTCCACCTATCTATATCAGGAATGTTAGCTGTGGCCACTCCATTTGGTAAAGCGCGTTCGTTTGGGTAGACTTTTGACAAGTCTAGTCACTTCAGTAATTTTGTTTCAGATCTAAAATAATTTGTTACTCTAGACACTTGTTTTCTCTGCCCTGTTGACCCCAAATAACAGCTAGCCAGGAAGAATGCTTATCAATTACCTCATCACCTAGGATTCTTTAGCTACTCACTAGTTACCCCCAGCAAGCACCAACTGCCTGCCTAACCAGGAAACTTACCAAGCTCCTTCTTCTCCCTCCCTTTCTACGCTGTAGCTGCCCCAGACGCAAACAGCGACTTTGATTCTTACAGAGACCTCCCTGTGTAGGTTTTTCCCTAAAATAAAGGCCTGTGCTGTCTTCGGTCCTTTTCTTGTACATCTTTCCTTCTCACCGACCTTTCAGAGACAGTGCACTGTTCTGTCCTGGAAAGCCCAGCCCAGATGTTGCTTACGCAGCTGCGGTCATGCAGGTAGGCTAAGCCTGCTCACTTTTCTGAATGGCTTGGGAAAGTCTAACTTGTCTTTTTCCTACTTTTTGCCTCTTTTTCATTCTTCTGGTACCTCCCAAAGTCTTCTCATGCTTTCTCAGACAGTGAGAGGTTTCTCATTTTTTTTTTCTCTGAAGCTCACAGATGTGGCCATGTGGCAGCTTACAAATGGCATGGTTTTTCTCTCTTCCTCTTCTTCATATTCCTCCTCTGGACAGCTGCTGGGATTTGCAGCTTGCCTGCCCTGGGGTATTTCTTTTAAATACTGATAAAGTTGTCCTCATGCTTTCTTCTGGGTCCATTCTTAAACTCCTTTGTTAACGAAACTAAGAATCCTGAGGCAGAACCTCAAGTTCCACGGTAACATGTGGTACACCAGGCAATGCTCCCCAAAATTTTCAGTAACACCTCCACAGGAGAAATTACATTATTAAAAATCACTTGGCATTATGGAGATTTTCATTCAGGTCCTTGTTTTCCCTTCTACGGCAAAGAGTGAAAATATAAAGAATTAACAAAATACCCATAGAAGGGTGTATGCACTAGTTAAATTCTCAGGCTCTGAAACAAAATATATTTGTTCATACCATATAATGCTATTTCAGTCAAGGACAAACTATACATATAACAGTGGCTTGAGAAGATTATAGTGAAACTGAAATTTTTCTTTTTTATTTTACCCCACTCAGAATGGCAATCATAAGAAAATAAATAGCTAAAAATGCTGGCGATGGTGCAGAAAGAGGTGAGCCCTTCTATGCTGCTGATAGGAATGTGAATTAGTCTAGCCAGTGTGAAAATCAGTATGGGAGTTAAAAAGAAATCCACCCTATGACCCAGAGGTACAATCCTCAGTCTATACCTGAAATGCTTTAAGTCAACATCACAGAAATCCTTATGCATTGATGGTTATTACTGTACCATTCACATTAGCTGAGTTATGGAATCAACCTAAGTGTCCATCAACAAAGAATTGGAGCAAGTCATTATGGAACAGGCCTGTGTCACAGAAGCGATAGGATCAGGAGTTCAAGGTCATCCTCAGCTACACAGCAAGTTTAAGTTCAGCCTTGATTACATGAGACCCTATCTCAAAAGCATCAGAACCAAATAAACAAATGAATAAAAACCAAAGTAATGGATGAAGAAAATATGGCATATACACAATAAAATTATATTCAGTCATAAAGAAGAATAAAAGTGTGCTATCTGCCAGAAAATGGATGCAACTGGAGATTATTATGTTATGCAAGTTAAGGCAGACTTAGAAAGACAAATCTAATGTTTTCTCTTATTTGTGGATCACACACACACACACACACACACACACACACACACACAGTCGATGTGGAGCTCTCTAGAGAAGGGAAGGAAACTAACAGGAGAGAGGAAGGAGAAGGGAAAGGGGAAGGGATGTGGAGGATAAGGTCAAAATCTAAATACTTGCACGAAAATGCCCTGATGAAACTCAGTACTGTGTACAGTAAATATAAACCAATTAAAATGATTTTCAAGTTCCCATGAGCAATACTCATGTGTTTGTGGGTAATTCAGATAAAAGCAAATCGATTTCACTGCCAGGCATAAGAGTATAATACATACAGTATGTATAACTGTACACAGTACATAATACTCAATGATAATAATTATATTTCTGATATATATTTACTATTCTCTCTATCTGCATTTTAGAATCTATTACTCCTCATAAAATTATAGTTGGAATCTAAAGCCAAAAATTGATGTGAAAGCATAAAATGACTAATAGAGAATGAAAGGGGAATACAGAAAAGGTGTGGGTAATGGGGAGGTAAATACAATATAAATATATATATATATATATATATATATATATATATATATATATATATATAAATTTCATAATGAAGTACACTGTGTGATATTCTGATAACACCCTTGTAGCTAAAACATCCTATATATCAATAATAAAACATTAACATCTCGGAAGAAAAATAACCAACTCATGAAACTTGTCAGAATGGCCAATTTATTAAAAGCTATACAAATTTTTAACAGTCGGAGAAATAACAACAAAAGTTAAATCTCAGCGCTGAGGAAGAGGACAAGGTCAGGTCCTGCCTGGCTGCAGCACAGATCCGAGGTCAGCCTATGAAACAGACAATTTGAAAGTGTAGCTGAAATTGCTGCTCCGAGGCCGCATCAGTGTAACCAGGCGTTTAGAAGGAACCAAGCCAAGAGAAAAAGCCACCAATGGAGAAATAAGAGAAAGGTCTGCAGAACTAAGACAAAGTGGGATTTATAAAGGAGTCGAAGTCAGCACTCTCTAGCACAGGCACAGACACGCCAAGCTGCCCATGCTGATCTGGGTCCCACCAGGGAAGTGCAGTCCAGAACTCTGAGAATGCCGCAAGAGTCAGTTCACACTGCTGGAAACTCAAATAAGAGGCTGGACTCAGCATCCCCAGAGAGGAGAATGGGGCGCAGCAAGCCATAATTACAGCGCCAGAACAGAGCTTGAGGTTTGAAGAACTCACCATCCCATCCTGCTCACCGCTGAGGATGGGCAAGGGATGATGCTGGGAACGGAAGAGCAATGTGGGCCATATTCTGGTGCAGCCACAGATGAGCAGTCCAGCTGGGGAGATAGAATCAGGGTGGAAAGGAGTCTGAAGCTGAAAAAGTCTCAACGCCCCCGCCCCATCCCAGTCAGGAATGGGCAGAACTGGGAGCTGAGCGCACACACACAGCACTTTCTTCATTTCAGTGTGTGTTATCTTAATCTTTAATTTACTTTTTTAAAGATGTGTTTTATTTTTAATTATGTGTATGTGGGTATAATGAATATCTGGGGGAGCATCGTGCTCATGAGTGCAGGGATCTGCAGAGGCCAAAGGCATCAAAGTCCCCTGAAGTTGGAGTGACAGACTGAGTGTGTTACTGGATTTGTGTGCTAAGAATCAAACTTGGTCCCCTGAAAGAGCAGTATGTGCTCTTAACTGCTGAGCCGTCTCTCCAGCCCCCTGATTTACTTTTTTTTTCCTCATTTTTTTATTTTTCATTTACTTTTTAGTTTTTTCCCTTTTTATATATATGCTTTGGTACTTTTTTTTTCATTCTGAAGATTTCAGACAGAAAGCTTTTTCTTTTTATTTATTCTTCTCTCATACAGTACACCCTGACGACAGCCTCCCCTCACTCCACTCCTCCCAGTTACCACCCCGCCCCAATTATTCAGTTGGATTATGGCTACCCACTACAGATTATAGCTTGCATGTCACTAGAAAAGTTTTTCATGTCTGTCCTTCCTTCTGTAAGCCTCATATATAATATTGTCTATACTTCATTTCCTACCTTGAACATTTCATACCTTGAACATTCCTTCTTAACCTCCCTTCTCTTCCCCCTTCCCTCCTCAGTTCACTACTAATATTGATACGTTTAGCTCTAAATATTACTAATATTGATATACATAGCTTTAAACTATAAACTCCATTTTCCCAACCAGAGCCCTCCTGCTGCAGTCTCTGAACCTCACAGGGACAAGCAAGAGTGCCTTCTGCACTTAGCAGTGGGGCTACTTTCAAGCCATCATGGTTGCTACTACAGTAGACTTTCTCCCTGAACATGAATTGAGGCAATGAGAGCTTACCAGTGTTAGGGTCCTGGAGAAGTCCCCCAAAAGACCACCATCCACATATGCAATCAGCAAGAGTGCTTATTATCTCGAGAAAGTTTCTAGCATGCTGGGGCCGGCCATCCCACACAAAGGCAAAATGGTGACCACCCTGAGAGGAGCTCACAGGCTCCTTTGAAGCACAGCCAAGGGAAGTTCCTAGGGCAGTTAGGTCACTTTACATATGTTTGCCTTAAGCAAGTGGCAGTCATGTTGGTACATTCTAATTGGCCAGGGCTAGTCAGGGGCTGGCTAAGGCTACAGCTTTTCCATTTTGGGATAGGCCTAAACAAGTCCCAGGCTTTGTCCTTATTTGGTTATTATCTTGAGCTTGTTGACTGTGGCTCAGGTCTGGCCAAGGTACTGCATACATTGTACCAGGTCTACTTGTCCTTGCTGTCAGGGCTGTTGGAGATTGATTGTCCTTTGTTTGTGGCTCTTTCAGAAACTGCTAGTTCAGTCTCAGGAAACTGAAATTGAGGCCTGATCTCTGACAGAAGACTGAGCAGCCTGTTATGGCGTCTGCTGGGTCCTCTCAACCAGGAGGACTCGTGTAAAATAAAACAAACAAGGAAAAACAGTGGGAAAAACTGGGAACAACAAACTTAAGGACATATATATCCCAACAGATGTGAAAATTACAGTAAAAGAACATAAAAATCCTGGTGTAGCACTCCACCATGACCCCCAAAAGCTCGTAATTCCACAATACCAAAAGAACAAAGACAACGAGATAGCTGAAATCAGAAAGACTCCAGAGTCTTACTTCTATAAAGGATCAATAACCATGCAGAGACTCAAAAAGAAGAAATCAATTCAGGAACTAGACAAGAAAGCTACCAAAGAGGATGAAATCACAAAAATCCAACAAGTAAATTAAGATGCTGAAAAACAACCAAATAAAAATTCTACTCATGCAATAATCAATCAATCAATTGAACAAACAAACAAAACCCACCAGAGATAAATATCAACAGCAGACAAGACCAAGCAAAAGAATGAATTCTAGAGATGGAAGACAAGACAAGACAACATGCAGACACATGGAAAGAGAAAGCTTAACAAACATGACCAGAACTTGTAAAGAGTCTAGGACACACTCAAAAGAAGAAACCTAAGACTCCATTGACTAAGAAGAAGGAGCTAAGATAAAGGCCATGCACTTAGACAATCTATTCAATGAAATTGTAGCCAAGAATTCCCAAACCTACAAAAGAAATAGGCATCCAAACAGGAGAAACATTCACAACCAAATAGATATGACCAGAGAACAATTCTCTACAACATACAGAAGTCAAGGTAACAAAACTATAAAACAAAGAATACTAAAAGCTATTGGGCAAAAATGCTTACTCACATACAGTAACATCACCTCTTCATCAGCAACTCTGAAAGCCAGGGAATCATGGAATGATCTTTCAAACCCTGAAAGTAAATAATTGCCAGTAGGGATTGCTATATTCGGCAAAATTATCTCTTCAAATTGATAGAGATAAAAGTTAACTTCAAGTCAAACACAAGTTAACATGGTTCACAGCAACCAAGCCAGTACACAGAACGTCTTAAAGGTATAAGATACAAAAAGAACTAAGAAAAGACAGCATTGTCCACAAGAACACAAGAAAGTACATTTTATGATAGGAACGGATGAACAAGAGAACAGAGAAGGAATCGATCACGTTCAACACAGCAAAGTAGTAAATCTCTAAGGATATCAAGAGAAAAAAAAAGAAAAGAACCACCAATTTACTAATCAACCAAAACCACATCCAACAAAACAACAATACCAAACCCCTCTCAAATTAAAGCCTTGATCGCAAATGGCCTTAACCCACCAATTAAGAGACACAGATTGACTAGATTAGGAAGCCAGATCCAGCTCTCTGTCATCTTCAAGAAGCATCAGCAGCAAAGACATCTATGAAGAAAATCATGAAATTATCAGGAAAATGAATGGAACTGGAAATTATTGTGTTAAGTGAGGTAGTCCAGGTTCAGAAAGAGAAACACTACAGCTAGTCTCTCATATGTGAATCCCAGCTTCTAATTTTTATATATGTGGGTGTGGGTGTGAATATAGATCATAAAAGCTAAAAAGTAGACCATGAGAAGGAGGAAGACATTTAAGAAGGGGGATGAGGAGAGTGACGTATTGCGACATGAAGGAGAACACTGGGGACAAAAGGGTCAAGCAGAGCAGGAGAATCAACCCAAACAAAGGATTGTGACAATGCCATTGGGAAGCCTCTTTCTTTGTATTCTATTTTAAAATATGGAGAAAGAAAGGGCTTTTTTAATAGAGAAAGAGCAGTTGAGTACCGAGATAGAACACTTCCCTTGTGTGCACAAGGCCCTCAGTTCAATCTCCAGTACTTCAAAAACTAAGAAACAAACACAAAAACAAACAAAAAATTTCCATTTTCAATCTGTAAAAATAGTGAAAGTTACATGCACACACATATGCACATGATCATGGGATTCTTTCTCATAACTTCTCTGTTATTCCAAGTCCCTCTCCCAGTCCTTTCCTAGATGAGACCCACTCATCCTGAGCTACTCAATATGCAACCTAAAAAAATATTGTAAATACTCAATATGACTTCTAGTCTAAATGAAAAGCCATATTCTTGAAGAAAATATTTTCCAGTTCTAAGAGCCTACTGTGATGGCACACCTGAAAAAGAAAGAACACAGAATCAAGAACCTGAATAAGCCAGATGTGGTGGTGTCTATCTTACCCAAGCAGAGAAGTTTCTCTCACACAGACACAGGACTGTTTGGACATTGTTAGAAGATAAAGAAAACATGCACACCACACACACACACACACACACACACACACACACACACACACACACACACCTCTTTTATGTCTAGATTCTGACATGGTATGATATGTAAATGCCAATGAATATGTGTCCTAGAGGTCATGTGCTTGTGCTTATTAGGATATATTTGGCTCTTCTGCCTAAGAAAGCCAAACTCCAGCCAGTGTCTCTTAGGAATGGGCACTAGAGAGAACAGTAGAGTTTGGAAGCAGATGAGTGTTTTATTGTCTGTTTGTTGACTTGCCACATGGAGGTGCCGGCCACACAGAAGTCCAAGTGCATGCATGAGCCTCTCTGTGATTCCTTCGAGGCATCACCTCAGCAGGATCCTGCGGGCAGACTAGGCCCTGGTGATGGACACTCTGCCCTCTCTAACTCTCATCTTTATGTTTGGTGAGTACATTTTATAAGGATATTTTTTGCAGTCTCAAAATCTTAAAAGCTTTCTCCAAATAACATGATTCTGGTCAAACCTATAAAATAAGCATTTTTTCCTCCTTGCAGGAGGAACCAGTGGCAATTCAGTCAAACAGACAGGCCAATAACTTGTATCAGAAGGAACAGATGTGACTACGGGATGCAGTTATACACCAAAAGGGCACCCCACTCTTTTCTGGTATGTTCTATATCCCAACAAAGTTCCTCAGTTTCTTAAGATACAGATGATGGAAAAACAGCAAAAACTTTGAAGCCAAAAACATTAAAGAAAAAAATCTCGCCCATTGTGAAATATTTAGTCTGGGTATCAGACTCCACTGTGTGCTACTGCCTTCTGAGAGACACAGTGCCAAGGACACAGTGGGGAGCTATTCAAACCCTCAAGGGTCCAGAGGACATATGCTTTGAAACTGGGAAACCAATCTGAGGAACCTCATTCTGTCCAACACAGACAGTCCTGTTGGCACACTATTACAAGATTAAAAAAAAAAAATCTACAAGTGCCCAAAGGCATGGAGGCTTCTCTGACTAAAGAAAGACAAGGTTAGGGAAGAGTCTCAGACAACGTCCCTCCCCCTGTTGTGCTAGCTCTTGTCCTTGGGGGCACCTTGCAAGATGCTTAGGAATTAATGTCTAAGGACTTGGATGCCAGTCTACTTAACGCTACTACTTACCAACTGTGCAAATTCGACCAAGTTAATTGCGGTCCAGAGCTTTAGTTTTTCCTTGTTTAAAGTTTATTAGTGAGCATTTGCTGTACAAAGCAGTAGGCTCCATGATGACAATTTTGTTCAAATATATCATGTGCTTTTGAAGGGTCCAGGAATATATACGGAAATATAAAATTATAAACTTAAGGAATGGAAACTGACAGCGATCAGCTTGGCTAGCAAAAAGGGATTAACTTTTAACTGGACCCCTCCCTGTTTTAGGATGGGAAGCTCTGTCAACAACCCAAATGTCAGTTTTCTTTTAGTAAAGATGGCCTTTTGCAGCCCTGGGGTTAGCTATTCTTCGATAAACCCCTACCACTCACTACCGAAACCAAAGTTAACTTTTAATGAGTTCTACGTGACAACCTGCCTTGCATTGCTTCATATCCCCCCCCACTCCCCCCCCACACACATAGGGGAACCCAGCTGTGTCAGGAGAAGTTGCAGGTTTGGGCAAACATCAATTAACTGAGTCAGGAAGGGCTGCAGGATATACCAATATTGTTTAGCCAAATTGTAAAAACCTAAAACAACTTGTCTCTAAAAGTTTAACTTCAAAACTGTAAAAATTCCTTTGTCTATGCCTCATGCTTACCCCTTACTATAAAAAGGGGCTCATAGCCCCCTTCCAGCTGCCACAGCCTCAGAATCCTGAAAAAATGGCTGTGGTCTCAGCTAGCTGATAAGCTTTTGTGCCCTATGGTGGTTTTTTTGTTTTGTTTTGTTTTTGTTTTTGTTGTTGTTGTTGTTTTTAATTTTTTTCTGGAATAAAGTTTGCTTCTGGTTTAATAGACTCTGGTGGTCTGCCCCCCCATTATTTCAAGACCCTAGACCCAACACTTTGACCATTTCTAGGTAGTCTCTCCTACCCTTCCTGGTCATTTCTCATTAATCTCTCCTGCTCTTCCTTCCCATAGACCGCTCTTCTAAACTGACTCTAGCTTGTGTCAAGTTGACATAAAACTATCCAGCACATCAGACTAGCTGGCTTATGAGCTTCCAGGCAATCCACTGTCTTCTCTCTTCTTGCCCTGTGAGCACTGGGGAAATAGATGTATGCTATTACGTTCATCTTTTTACATGGGCTCCAAAGACCAAACTCAGGTTGTCAGGCTTATGCAGTGAGTCTCTACCTGCTGCGCCGTCTTGAGGGTTCCATGACAGTCCCTTAGGATCTCTTTGTCATATGACTTCTGCTAGGGAGACATGAACAAACATCTATTGACCCCAGATAAGACACTGATGACAAGCCACAGAGACTATTCTCCCTATGTCTGCTTCAGTGAACCAATGAGGTATTTTTTAGGGTACTTACAGGAGCGGGGGTGGAGGTGTACAGGAGCAGAGATGTCTCAAAGGCAGCTGCATCACTGAAAAGCTCACCTGACATGGGCATAGACTCACAAAAGGTGCATCCCTGGAACTCCCCACACAATTTGCAGGCTGGTGGGCTGAACTGTCCCTTCTAACAATTGTCATTGTTTATTTAACCCTGGGGGTGGAGCTTGCTGATCTTGTAAGTTTCTGGAGTTTTCAGAAACTTGTGAGCTTTGCTCACCTGCTGCTTTGTACAACAAATGTCCACTTTAAAAAAAAAACAAAACAAAACAAAACCTAAAAAACAGAAAAAAGAAAAACTAAAGCTCTGAGGCAGCAGTTAACTTGGCCAGATTTGCACAGTGACTGTCAGTTTGACGAGATCTATAATCACCTAGGGCCTTTGGGTATGCCTATGGGAGATTGTTCAGATTAGGTTAGCCTCTGGGCATGCCTGTGAGGGACCATCTAGACTAGGTTAATTAAGATGGGAAGACAAACCCACCTTAGTCTTGAGTAGTACCATTCTACAGCTGAGGGCCTGGGGTGAATAAAGGGACAGTGGTTCTCAACCTGTGGGTCATGACCCCTTTAGGGTCAAATGATCTTTTCATAGGGATCTCCTAACACCATCAGAAAACAGATATTTGTCTTATGATTCATAATAGTAGCAAAATTACAGTTATGAAGTAGCAACAAAAATAATTTTATGGTTGGGGGTCACCACAACATGAGGAACTGTGTTAAAGGGTCACAGCATTAGGAAGGTTGAGAACCACTGAAAAGGGAAAAAGTGACCTGGACACTAGGATTCATCACTCTGCTTGCTGACTGTGCATCATGAAGCTGCCAAGGCTTTTCCACCATGATGGACTGTATACCTTGAACTGGGTACCAAAATCAGCCTTTTCTCTTGTGCATTGCTGTTGTTTTATATTGCATTGCATTGCACTGTGTTGTATTGTATTGAATTGTATTGCATTGCATTGCATTGCATTGCACTGTATTGTATTGCACTGTATTGTATTGCATTGCATTGCATTGTATTGTATCACAGCAATAGGAAAAATAACTAACATACTTCCTGAGTCTTAGAGAGTTTTCCCCCAGAAAGGAATGTTTTAATTTGGAGGAAATAGCTGCAAAATACTTATCTATCAAAATTTTCAATTTCTGCCTTTTCTTTCTTTTACAGTTTGAGTTCCTGCCCTGACTTCTCTTAGTAATGGACTGTGCTGTGGAACTGTAATCTTAAATAAACCTTTTCCTCCTGAACCTGCCTTTGGTCGTGGTGTTTTATCATAAGCAATAGAGACCCTAAGACACCTGGAGTACACAGCACAGCAGAAACAAGGGAAGCCCTGTCTGAAAAATAAAGTAGAAGGCCACAAACAATACCTCAATGTTGTTCCCCGACCTACACACACACACACACACACACACACACACACACGACAAAATAAAAAAAGATTTAAAAAATATTCTAAATGCTTTATACATTACTTCAGTCTTCACAACAGTCTCAGGAAGGAGTAAGTACAGTGATTATCCCATATTTAAGATTAAAAATACTTGCCCGAGCCGGGCGTGGTGGCGCACGCCTTTAATCCCAGCACTCGGGAGGCAGAGCCAGGCGGATCTCTGTGAGTTCGAGGCCAGCCTGGGCTACCAAGTGAGCTCCAG